AAAAATGTCCCACGAAGAAAGGTTAAGGAAAATCCGCCTGACAATACTGGAGGACATGAGAATTAGGGGAGACATGATAACGACATACAAAATACTGCAAGGGATTGATATGGTGGACAGAGACAGGATGTTCCAAGGGATGGCACACAGAAACAAATGGTCACAATTGGAAGTTAAGACTCAGATGAGTCAAAGGGATGTTAGGAAGTATTTCTTTTAGGCATAGAGTTGGCAGGAAGTGGAATAGTGTGGCAAGTGACGTAGTGGAGGCAGGAACCATACATCAACATAATGTCAGGTGTTGTAACGTGACAGCGGGATATAGTCTCGCCCTTGAATATTAAAATAGTATAAAATAGTGACAGGTTGTTAGGTAAGACACATGTGCAATAGTTAGGTATCTTTATTTCGAAAATAAAGATACCTAATTGTTTCATATGTGTCTTACCTAACAGTCTCGTCCATACATGTTTACCTCTTTATCTTTTAATGCTTCACAGTTCCTTAATAATGTGAGAAATCACCAAAGCGCTTGGAACTCTTTTTTTCACAGTGGTTAAACTGTATATCGTGATATAACCTGTTTACTGTGATTGTATTACATATGTTCACTGGACAAGTAGGAACCAGCAGACTGTTATGAACAGGTTGATGCACCGTGACCTTACTTACTGCATGATAGAAAAAAAATAGTATTTATTTTTTCCATAATTAGGTTTATAAAATATCTCGGTCAATACTGGAATATTTTTGACCAGGATGGATTGTTTGTGACCTGACTCACTGCTGGATAATGAGCACTCAGACTGACGTGGTGACTTGACTCACTGCTGGATAATGAGCACTCAGACTGACGTGGTGACTTGACTCACTGCTGATAATGAGCACTCAGACTGACGTGGTGACTTGACTCACTGCTGGATAATGAGCACTCAGACTGACGTGGTGACTTGACTCACTGCTGGATAATGAGCACTCAGACTGACGTGGTGACTTGACTCACTGCTGGATAATGAGCAGTCAGACTGACGTGGTGACCTGACTCACTGCTGGATAATGAGCAGTCAGACTGACGTGGTGACTTGACTCACTGCTGGATAATGAGCAGTCAGACTGACGTGGTGACCTGACTCACTGCTGGATAATGAGCAGTCAGACTGACGTGGTGACTTGACTCACTGCTGGATAATGAGCAGTCAGACTGACGTGGTGACCTGACTCACTGCTGGATAATGAGCAGTCAGACTGACGTGGTGACTGACTCACTGCTGGATAATGAGCAGTCAGACTGACGTGGTGACTTGACTCACTGCTGGATAATGAGCAGTCAGACTGACGTGGTGACCTGACTCACTGCTGGATAATGAACAGTCAGACTGACGTGGTGACCTGACTCACTGCTGGATAATGAGCAGTCAGACTGACGTGGTGACCTGACTCACTGCTGGATAATGAACAGTCAGACTGACGTGGTTACCTGACTCACTGCTGGATAATGAGCAGTCAGACTGACGTGGTGACCTGACTCACTGCTGGATAATGAGCAGTCAGACTGACGTGGTGACCTGACTCACTGCTGGATAATGAGCAGTCAGACTGACGTGGTGACCTGACTCACTGCTGGATAATGAACAGTCAGACTGACGTGGTGACCTGACTCACTGCTGGATAATGAACAGTCAGACTGACGTGGTGACCTGACTCACTGCTGGATAATGAGCAGTCAGACTCACGTGGTGACCTGACTCACTGCTGGATAATGAGCAGTCAGACTGACGTGGTGACCTGACTCACTGCTGGATAATGAGCAGTCAGACTGACGTGGTGACCTGACTCACTGCTGGATAATGAGCAGTCAGACTGACGTGGTGACTGACTCACTGCTGGATAATGAGCAGTCAGACTGACGTGGTGACCTGACTCACTGCTGGATAATGAGCAGTCAGACTGACGTGGTGACCTGACTCACTGCTGGATAATGAGCAGTCAGACTGACGTGGTGACCTGACTCACTGCTGGATAATGAGCAGTCAGACTGACGTGGTGACTTGACTCACTGCTGGATAATGAGCAGTCAGACTGACGTGGTGACCTGACTCACTGCTGGATAATGAGCAGTCAGACTGACGTGGTGACCTGACTCACTGCTGGATAATGAGCAGTCAGACTGACGTGGTGACCTGACTCACTGCTGGATAATGAGCAGTCAGACTGACGTGGTGACTTGACTCACTGCTGGATAATGAACAGTCAGACTGACCTAGTGACTTGACTCACTGCTGGATAATGAGCAGTCAGACTGACCTAGTGACTTGACTCACTGCTGGATAATGAGCAGTCAGACTGACCTAGTGACTTGACTCACTGCTGGATAATGAGCAGTCAGACTGACCTAGTGACTTGACTCACTGCTGGATAATGAGCAGACAGACTGACGTGGTGACTTGACTCACTTCTGGATAATGAGCAGTCAGACTGACGTGGTGACTTGACTCACTGCTGGATAATGAACAGTCAGACTGACGTGGTGACCTGACTCACTGCTGGATAATGAGCAGTCAGACTGACGTGGTGACTTGACTCACTGCTGGATAATGAGCAGTCAGACTGACCTAGTGACTTGACTCACTGCTGGATAATGAGCAGTCAGACTGACGTGGTGACCTGACTCACTGCTGGATAATGAGCAGTCAGACTGACGTGGTGACTTGACTCACTGCTGGATAATGAACAGTCAGACTGACCTAGTGACTTGACTCACTGCTGGATAATGAGCAGTCAGACTGACGTGGTGACCTGACTCACTGCTGGATAATGAGCAGTCAGACTGACGTGGTGACTTGACTCACTGCTGGATAATCAACAGTCAGACTGACCTAGTGACTTGACTCACTGCTGGATAATGAGCAGTCAGACTGACCTAGTGACTTGACTCACTGCTGGATAATGAGCAGTCAGACTGACCTAGTGACTTGACTCACTGCTGGATAATGAGTAGACAGACTGACGTGGTGACTTGACTCACTTCTGGATAATGAGCAGTCAGACTGACGTGGTGACTTGACTCACTGCTGGATAATGAGCAGTCAGACTGACGTGGTGACTTGACTCACTGCTGGATAATTAACAGTCAGACTGACGTGGTGACCTGACTCACTGCTGGATAATGAGCAGTCAGACTGACGTGGTGACCTGACTCACTGCTGGATAATGAGCAGTCAGACTGACGTGGTGACCTGACTCACTGCTGGGTAATGAGCAGTCAGACTGACGTGGTGACCTGACTCACTGCTGGATAATGAGCAGTCTGACTCACGTGGTGACCTGACTCACTGCTGGATAATGAGCAGTCAGACTGACGTGGTGACTTGACTCACTGCTGGATAGTGAGCAGTCAGACTGACGTGGTGACTTGACTCACTGCTGGATAGTGAGCAGTCAGACTGACGTGGTGACTTGACTCACTGCTGGATAATGAACAGTCAGACTGACCTAGTGACTTGACTCACTGCTGGATAATGAGCAGTCAGACTGACGTGGTGACCTGACTCACTGCTGGATAATGAGCAGTCAGACTGACGTGGTGACTTGACTCACTGCTGGATAATGAACAGTCAGACTGACCTAGTGACTTGACTCACTGCTGGATAATGAGCAGTCAGACTGACGTGGTGACTTGACTCTGCTGGATAATGAACAGTCAGACTGACGTGGTGACTTGACTCACTGCTGGATAATGAGCAGTCAGACTGACCTAGTGACTTGACTCACTGCTGCATAATGAGCAGTCAGACTGACGTGGTGACTTGACTCACTGCTGGATAATGAACAGTCAGACTGACCTAGTGACTTGACTCACTGCTGGATAATGAGCAGTCAGACTGACGTGGTGACTTGACTCACTGCTGGATAATGAACAGTCAGAATGACGTGGTGACTTGACTCACTGCTGGATAAGGAGGAGCCAGACTGACGTGGTGACTTGACTCACTGCTGGATAATGAGCAGTCAGACTGACGTGGTGACTTGACTCACTGCTGGATAATGAACAGTCAGACTGACCTAGTGACTTGACTCACTGCTGGATAATGAGCAGTCAGACTGACGTGGTGACCTGACTCACTGCTGGATAATGAGCAGTCAGACTGACGTGGTGATTTGACTCACTGCTGGATAATGAACAGTCAGACTGACCTAGTGACTTGACTCACTGCTGGATAATGAGCAGTCAGACTGACGTGGTGACTTGACTCACTGCTGGATAATGAACAGTCAGACTGACGTGGTGACTTGACTCACTGCTGGATAATGAGCAGTCAGACTGACCTAGTGACTTGACTCACTGCTGCATAATGAGCAGTCAGACTGACGTGGTGACTTGACTCACTGCTGGATAATGAACAGTCAGACTGACCTAGTGACTTGACTCACTGCTGGATAATGAGCAGTCAGACTGACGTGGTGACTTGACTCACTGCTGGATAATGAACAGTCAGAATGACGTGGTGACTTGACTCACTGCTGGATAAGGAAGAGCCAGACTGACGTGGTGACTTGACTCACTGCTGGATAATGAACAGTCAGACTGACGTGGTGACTTGACTCACTGCTGGATAATGAGCAGTCAGACTGACGTGGTGACTTGACTCACTGCTGGATAAGGAAGAGCCAGACTGACGTGGTGACTTGACTCACTGCTGGATAATGAACAGTCAGACTGACGTGGTGACTTGACTCACTGCTGGATAATGAGCAGTCAGACTGACGTGGTGACTTGACTCACTGCTGGATAATGAGCAGTCAGACTGACGTGGTGACCTAACTCACTGCTGGATAATGAGCAGTCAGACTGACGTGGTGACTTGACTCACTGCTGGATAATGAGCAGTCAGACTGACGTGGTGACCTAACTCACTGCTGGATAAGGAAGAGCCAGACCATTAACGAGAAAGGGTGGGTGGGAAGTAACAATATATCCTACAATACAGAGGGTCACTGACCTGCACTGGTGGGTGGGCTGTGACCTGCAGCTCCTGCAGAACAGTGAGAGTGAAGTGGGCGGTGTCAGTGCCCGCCCCATTAGCTGCCACGCAGGTGTAGCCGCCTGCGTCTGCTGGTCCCGCACGCACTCCACTCACCACGGCGCCCCGCACCCATACACGCCCACCGCTCACGCCAACACTTCCGCCCACAGTCCCCAGCTCCCCGCCCACACCGTCACGTGACCAGCTGTTAGACCATAGAATTTTTTTTACATTAGACATGAAATTTAGAGTAAGATAATATCGCTATTACCTATTACATATCCTTGCTAATATTCTTATTGACCAATGTTCACTTGACTCTATATAGCATCGTCATACATCAACTTATTGAACCTTATTGCAATATTACCTAAATTATCAGTAAGATTATATATATTTCGAATAAAATAAGATAAAAATACATTAAAGCCTACTGAAGGACTTGAATAACCATGAGCCTAAAACAACACATTGTAGTAGAACATAAATAAGACTACAGTAGGCCTAGAGTGAGACTGAACGAACAATACAGTATGCCTAGAGTAAGACTGAACGAACGATACAGTAGACCTAGAGTAAGACTGAACGAACGATACAGTAGGCCTAGAGTAAGACTGAACGAACGATGCAGTAGGCCTAGAGTAAGACTGAACGAACGATACAGTAGGCCTAGAGTAAGACTAAACGAACGATGCAGTAGGCCTAGAGTAAGACTGAACGAACGATACAGTAGGCCTAGAGTAAGACTGAACGAACGATACAGTAGGCCTAGAGTAAGACTGAACGAACGATACAGTAGGCCTAGAGTGAGACTGAACGAACAATACAGTATAACTAAAATATTAAAAGCAACAACCACTGCAGAAGGTCTACTGTAAGTTTATGTATAATTACATAAGAACTTAGGTAATACTGCCTGGGAGTGCCATTACAAGGGGCGCCTTAGGCCTACCCACATGGGAGTGCCATTACAAGGGGCGCCTTAGGCCTACCCACATGGGAGTGCCATTACAAGGGGCGCCTTAGGCCTACCCACATGGGAGTGCCATTACAAGGGGCGCCTTAGGCCTACCCACATGGGAGTGCCATTACAAGGGGCGCCTTAGGCCTACCCACATGGGAGTGCCATTACAAGGGGCGCCTTAGGCCTACCCACATGGGAGTGCCATTACAAGGGGCGCCTTAGGCCTACCCACATGGGAGTGCCATTACAAGGGTCGCCTCAGGCCTACCCACATGGGAGTGCCATTACAAGGGTCGCCTCAGACCTACCCACATGGGAGTGCCATTACAAAGGGCGCCATAGGCCTACCCACATGGGAGTGCCATTGCAAGGGTCGCTTCAGGCCTACCCACATGGGAGTGCCATTACAAGGGTCGCCTCAGGCCTACCCACATGGGAGTGCCATTGCGAGGGGTGCCTCAGGCCTACCCACATGGGAGTGCAATTGCAAGTTTCGCCTCAGGCCTACCCACATGGCAGTGCCATTGCAAGGGGCGCCTCAGGCCTACCCACATGGGACTGCCATTACAAGGGTCGCCTCAGGCCTACCACATTGGAGTGCCATTACAAGAGTCGCCTCAGGCCTACCCACATGGGAGTGTCATTGCGAGGGTCGCCTCAGGCCTACCCACATGGGAGTGCCATTGCAAGAGGCCCCCCAGGCCTACCCACATAGGAGTGCCATTGCAAAGGTCGCCTCAGGCCTACCCACATGGCAGTGACATTGCAAGGGTCGCCTCAGGCCTACATACATGGGAGTCCCATTGCAAGGGTCGCCTCAGGCCTACCCATATGGGAGTGCCATTACAAGGGTCGCCTCAGGCTTACCCACATGGGAGTGCCATTGCAAGGGTCGCCTCAGGCCTACCCACATAGGAGTGCCATTACAAGTGTCGCCTCGGGCCTACTCACATGGGAGTGCCATTACAAGGGGCGAATCAGGCCTACCCACATGGGAGTGCCATTAGAAGGGTCGCCTCAGGCGTACCCACATGGGAGTGTCATTACAAGGGTCGTCTCTGGCCTACCCATATGGGAGTGCCATTACAAGGGTCGCCTCAGGCCTACCCACATGGGAGTGCCATTACAAGGGTCGCCTCAGGCCTACCCACATGGGAGTGCCATTGCAGTACCATTGCAAGGGTCGTCTGAGGCCTACCCAAATGGGAGTGCCATTACAAGGTTCGCCTCAGGCCTAACCACATGTGAGTGCCATTACAAGGGTCGCCTTAGGCCTACCTAGATGCGAGTGCCATTACAAGGGTCGACTCAGGCCTACCCACATGGGAGTGCCATTACAAGGGTCGCCTCAGGCCCACCAACATGTGAGTGCCATTACAAGGGTCGCCTTAAGCCTACCTAGATGTGAGTGCCATTACAAGGGTCGCCTCAGGCCTACCCACATGGGAGTGCCATTGCAAGGGTTGCCTCAGGCCTACCCACATGGGAGTGCAATTGCAAGAGGCGCCCCAGGCCTACCCACATGGGAGTGCCATTACAAGGGTCGCCTCAGGCCTACCCACATGGGAGTGCTATTGCAAGGGGCGCCTCAGGCCTTCCCACATGGGAGTGCCATTACAAGGGTCGCCTCAGGCCTACCCACATGTGAGTGCCATTACAAGGGTCGCCTCAGGCCTACCCACATGGGAGTGCCATTACAAGGGGCGCCTTAGGCCTACCCACATGTGAGTGCCATTACAATGGTCGCCTCAGGCCTTCCCACATGGGAGTGCCATTACAAGGGTCGCGTCAGGCCTACCCACATGGGAGTGCCATTACAAGTGTCGCCTCAGGCCTTCCCACATGGGAGTGCCATTACAAGGGTCGCTATTACAAACACGTGTGAACCTTCATCAAACACGTGTGAACCTTCACCAAACACGTGTGAACCTTCATCAAACACGTGTGAACCTTCATCAAACACGTTCGAACCTTCACCAAACACGTGTGAACCTTCATCAAACACGTGTGAACCTTCACCAAACACGTGTGAACCTTCATCAAACACGTGTGAACCTTCATCAAACACGTGTGAACCTTCATCAAACACGTGTGAACCTTCATCAAACACGTGTGAACCTTCATCAAACACATGTGAACCTTCACCAAACACGTGTGAACCTTCATCAAACACGTGCGAACCTTCATCAAACACGTGTGAACCTTCACCAAACACGTGTGAACCTTCATCAAACACATGTGAACCTTCATCAAACACGTGTGAACCTTCACCAAACACGTGTGAACCTTCAACAAACACATGTGAACCTTCACCAAACACGTGTGAACCTTCACCAAACACGTGTGAACCTTCAACAAACACATGTGAACCTTCACCAAACACGTGTGAACCTTCACCAAACACGTGTGAACCTTCACCAAACACGTGTGAACCTTCACCAAACACGTGTGAACCTTCATCAAACACGTGCGAACCTTCACCAAACACGTGTGAACCTTCATCAAACACATGTGAACCTTCACCAAACACGTGTGAACCTTCATCAAACACGTGTGAACCTTCATCAAACACATGTGAACCTTCACCAAACACGTGTGAACCTTCATCAAACAGGTGCGAACCTTCATCAAACACGTGTGAACCTTCACCAAACACGTGTGAACCTTCACCAAACACGTGTGAACCTTCACCAAACACGTGTGAACCTTCAACAAACACATGTGAACCTTCACCAAACACGTGTGAACCTTCACCAAACACGTGTGAACCTTCATCAAACACGTGTGAACCTTCATCAAACACGTGTGAACCTTCATCAAACACGTGTGAACCTTCATCAAACACGTGTGAACCTTCATCAAACACGTGTGAACCTTCACCAACCACGTGTGAACCTTCATCAAACACGTGTGAACCTTCATCAAACACCTGTGAACCTTCATCAAACACCTGTGAACCTTCATCAAACACGTGTGAACCTTCATCAAACACGTGTGACCTTCACCAAACACGTGTGAACCTTCATCAAACACTTGTGAACCTTCATCAAACACGTGTGAACCTTCATCAAACACGTGTGAACCTTCATCAAACACGTGTGAACCTTCATCAAACACGTGTGAACCTTCATCAAACACGTGTGAACCTTCACCAAACACGTGTGAACCTTCATCAAACACATGTGAACCTTCATCAAAAACGTGTGAACCTTCATCAAACACGTGTGAACCTTCATCAAACACGTGTGAACCTTCACCAAACACGTGTGAACCTTCATCAAACACGTGTGAACCTTCACCAAACACGTGTGAACCTTCATCAAACACGTGTGAACCTTCATCAAACATACATCACATTGTCGTGGTAGCTGAACTGACACCCGTCAACAAGTTAATTAAAAAGTTTATTATATATGGGGATATGTCTTTTAGTACATTTACCAAGTCACTAGTGATCTTAAGATAATAATAATAATAATAACAATAATAATAATAATAACAACAATAATAATAATAATAATAATAATAATAATAATAATAATAATAATAATAATAATAATAATAATAATAATAATAATAATTTTAATAGTATATAATAATAATAATAATAATATTATATATATAATGAAAATCATGTGTTTATACAGGGTTCATGACTCGACTTATTCAACCCTACCTGGTATCACGCCATACAATAACTTGTAAATTTCATGATCGCAAATGACTTATACCACTGTGATTACAACATATATGGTGTATTGATCAGATTCACATGGGCAGATAGGTTTAACGTCGTGATATCATGACCAAACATCTTGACAAGAGAACAAATATGAACCAACAAGAGTGACTGTCCAACACCTTTTAGGAGAATATACAAATCTAAACCATGCTAAATACCCAATACAGTATTAGACGTTGTAATTTCCGTATGCCCCTTCTATGACAGTACAGACAGGAAAAACCTGAAAGAATCCCAATGACAGCTAAGTACATCTTAAATAAGATACATATAAACTCAGCCCACAAGAGAACACAGGCTCACTCACCACCAGGTATGTGTAAGAATATACAAAATCATAAGGGAACACAGAAGTGAAGAAACAATTCGGAGACGACAGTAGCAATGAACATCACATTCAGGTCAGGATCAGAGACAAGTTCCAACTACTCTATCAGCAAGGAAATGTTGCCTGACACAAGACAATGTTTCCGATACTTTGGAAAATGATGTTTTTAATGTAACATGACAGAAATGTCATCCAAGGATACACACAAAAGCAACAGGAACATTTTTATCAAACAAAACAGATGAAGCTGGAGCAACAGCAACACACAGAGCAAGAGGCATTTTTGAGGTTCCCAGCGCTCGGGCTTAATGCCCAAAGCTAGGGTTTGGCTCCAAAAGGGTCCTGTAATGCTTGCTGCCTTTGCACTTCATGACATCGTCTGCTGTTATGCAGCTGCCACACCCTCCAGTCCTAGTCCTGTGGCAGCCCAAGATATGTAGCATCTCCCTCCAAGCCCCGTGGGGGAGGGAAATGCGGCTAGGCCTAGGGACAGCTAGTCCCAGAAGATGAGCAGGTACTTGTACCTCCTCCCATGGCAGATATTGGTCTGAGACACTCCCAACACAGGGAGCCAAGGCCGGACCACCGATTGGAAAAGGTCCTGGCCAAGAGATTATACCGGCGAATCAACAAAATCCTCTCCTTGGTTCCTGTCAGCTGCTTGGAGAGTTGGTTAGTAGCAATAGGTTATATATAGTAGGCTGGACCACCACACAGCTGTCAGTTTTCACATACACAACAACTGTGTCTGACCTAATACTATGCTTCTCTGGTACAATAAACAATATTTTAATTTTTGCTAAGAATAACACAAATATACATGCTATGCTACTATTATATTAGGTGAAATGTATCTGGTGCACAAGATCAACATAACTACAAAAATATTGATGCACCACAAAACTTATACAGTCAAAGGTAGAGTTTGTAGAATGTGGTATTCATTCTTTTACATTATTTTCCACACTGTTCCTTCAACAAACTTTTTCCTCTTGAAAAAAGTAGTCTCCTCATACATCTTGGTCCCTGAGCGCTGTATCTATGACTTCTTGCTCATTTAAAAACTGTTTTCATGTGTGTTACTGTAATGAGTGAGTTACATTTCACGTCCCACTTTTTTTGAGTACTAGGTATCGCTTATCCATACGCCCTATATTAAACACGAGTCATTCACTTTCTACATTGCTACTATGAGTTCAGTAACAGTACTGTAGAGTGATCTAGTAGTTGTTGTACTAGTGACTAGGAGAAACTACAGCAACAGAAGGTT